GACAGGGGGAGGGAGGGGGAGGAGACAATAATAAAGTACCTGAGGCTGCTCACCTGAGCGGCGTGGCACGTGACAAGCCCGTCACCGCTTATTACACTTTCGGCTCCCGTAATTGGACGACTTTGTTACGACTCGTTGTATGCAACGTTATTCCGCGTCGTCGCCCAATAGACACATTATTACCTTTATTTCTTTTTTATTTCTGAAAACTTTTCTTTTTATATTCTTTTTCTTTTTTTTTTCTCTGGAGAGATATTTTTGTAGAACGGACTCTGATCATTATGAGTAAATTCAAAAATATAACACTCCTAACAAAATTGTGAACAAAAATGCACTGTTTTGTCCACTTAAAATGCACGACAATGTTAAAATCAACATGTGCAAAAAAAATTGATTCCATAACTATTGTCATATTATGCATCTACAAAATGAGTATATAAATTTTGTTTCACTTATTACTTATTCCTACCGCACCCAATAGACCATTTAGTCCAGAGGACAAAATTCAAAACCGATAAAAGTTTAGCTCTTCAAACCAAATTTTATTCGTGACGATGAAATAATTTAGTCAAGCTGACTTTGTTTGATTGGTGCCACCATATATAGTTAAAAATAATGTTACTAAATTTTAGTCGGTGCCAAGAACTGTTTTATTTTGTTTCTTGCAAACCTGATTTAGTTTAGTCCACTAAATGGTTCTCTGGGCGCAGCGAAATTTTGTTCACTAGGCCATACTACAAGTGTGTGAGATTTTGTGCTGCGTAGTTTGTCAAGTCCACTTAATAACTTCCAGAGCAAACGCGTCTTTATGAAAGAAGTGTACTCATCTTTCTGCTTTTTTTGCAGACGACTCACAGGCAAAGTGAGTCATTTCGAGTGTGCATGTCCCCCTTCACCTCAGCGTTGTTAACATGGCCAAACAAGCAAGGGCGGGTGGCGGGCGGGCGCACAGCCTTTGGCCAGGGCCTCGGACGGCCCCCATGGGAGTTGCTCCGCGCCGCCGGCCTCTGCCCGGAGGAGAGAGGAGGAGGCCTCCTGCGCGGCCAAGACAAGCACTTGTGTCTGGAGGGTTTCGTCCTAGCGGGGGCTGCACCGGCGCCGAACATATTGCACGTCAAGCAGCACGGGAGAGCCTCCCCGGGACGTCCACAGTCCGAGGCCCCGGCAATACTTGACCTCCGCACCCCCGCCGCGGGGCCGACGGGAGGGCCACTACATCCGAAAATAGGCTCGACGCGCTGGGGATGGGATGAGACAGACTAGCACAATAATACTTGGTATTAAGCAGTGCCTCGATTTGCAGCCAAACTCGTCACTTTACGATCTTGGCACGTAGCTTATGTTCTGGTAAGATCCCTACCAGGGTGTCATAAGCCAAACTACCTCGCTTCGTTCTTTACATTACAAGAAAAAGGAGGTGGCCCATCATTGGTCAGATCCATCCCTTAATGTGGCCATCATTGGGCATCTTACCCAAGTACCCTCCCGAAAAAAAAAAGGATATTGATGGTAAAATGTGTGAGTGCGCCTTGCGAGCGCGTGAAAATATGTTCCCTCTTTCCTCATCCGCAGAGGGCGAATGAGAGCGAGAGGGAGAGAGGGAGAGACAGAGAGACAGAGACACAGACAGAGACACAGACAGAGACGCAGAGAGCTCGAAATTTGAAATCGGAGATGAAAACTCAAACTAAACAGAGAATAACGTTGCAGGCACTAACTTTCCAGAAATTGCGAGAGAAGAGGAGGAAGGAGAGAGGGGAAAATAAAAAGTGAAGGAGGAGGAGGGGGTGAGGGAGGGGGTGAGGGAGGGGGCACTCTCTGGCTTTGGTCGTCGTCGGCTATTGAGTTGAAGAAGCCTGCGCTGCTGGGCTTGGAGGGTCGTGGAAAAGAGTTCAGGGTATGGGCCTTGGGGTGTCAGGGCGGGGCGGGGTGGGGCGGGGCGGCAGGGCGTGGTGGTAAGGACATGGGATCCTCGCGCATAGCACCGCCGCCGCGTGGATATGGGAACGAACTCTCGACCGTTTGGCGCGGAGGGTGAGGGGGATGTCGTGGGTGTTGGCAGCGGCAGTTTCACGCTCCAACGAGCATTCCTGGAGCGGGCACGCGCCAGGCCTGGGGCGGGGCGGGGCGGGGCGGGCAGCAGCCTTCCTCCCCCGTGAACCTGCCCGGCGTTGAGCGCAGGGAGCCACCCTCACGACGCGCGCCTCACTCAGGCCGCCGCCGAAACGCAAAACTGCCTCGGCTGATTAGGGAGTTTTTTTCCCTTTTTCTTTTTTTTTGGAAAGGAACGAATTGCTAACCGTTTGATCGACTTTCTTCTCACTGTGACTAATCGTTGTCTCTTACTGGTGTGACTTGACAAAACTACGATCGCGTTGCCTTTCTTTTGACGCGATATAAAGTTTTTTGTAGTATTTTGGCCACTGTAGCTTGCACGCGCACCACAGTCGATAATAAAATAAATAAGAAAGGTATTTACATTTCTGAGGATGTAGCATGTACGACATAGCCACAAAAAAAATAGACAGAATTTTTGTTTTTTGGTTTTTGTTTTTTGTTTTGACGCACCCGCTGTGCTGCATACAACATACCACCACCACCACCACCACCACGCCACCGACGCCCACCCCAGCCGCGTTCCGCGCGAGCCGCATACCGCGCGCATACCACCGCGTGCCGCGCATGCGGAGTCACACCTCGCGGCTCCAGCCCTCCGCCCGCGAAAAGGCTGGGGGGGAAGAAGCCTCGCCGGGAGCCGCGCCACCGGGAGCCGCGCCACCGCCACCGGGAGCCTCATCTCACGGGGAGCGCCCGCCAGGTCGGCTCACGGCAGCCCATCCGACTCGCTTGCGCTGCGGGCGTGCCCACCCACAGGCGCCAGCCACCCTCCTCCGCCGTCTACGATGCGCCCTGTCGCTCGAGATCGTGGCCACACAGTGGTCACGCCGCACTGATTGTATGCGGTTCAACACGGCGGTAAAATATTGAACTACTCTAAACCGAAAAACTAAAAGTGTTAGAGTCGTACACTTGTAGGTGCACTGTTACAAAAAAGTTGTAAAATTATCACACCGTTTGTAATGACTAGTTTGTGAAAATTTTGAAAAAGATGTTTGAAGAGAAAGTGAAATTGAAAAATGATCGCAAAAAGTGTAACACAAACATATCAAGCAATTCTTTGTCTGTCCAAACGAATTTCTCTCCACTGTGTCATGAACTATTTGTAGAACCGTTGATAGCCTATAACGGCCTATAACTCCTTTTTTAAACGAGCTCCCTCCGAATCTCTTTTCCCTCGTAACTGAACTCGTTCCTTTTCCGATCCGAGGGGGCGGGCGGCCCCGTCTGCTCGCCCGCCGGTGGCGCTGACAGCCTGAGAGCGACCGTTCTGCTCTCGCGGCGCGAAGAGAGGTCTGAGCTATCGCCGTGGCTAGGTGGAGCGGGGCGGGGCGGGGCGGGGAGCCAAGCGGATATGGGAGGCATAGAAGGATGCCCCGGCGTGGCGGGGCGGGGCCTCGCGCGAGCGTCTT